GGGCTGCGCCATGTTCAAAAGTTAACATTTTGATTTTACCAATATATGGCCTCAATTGCCCTCTCCACCCTGAAACATAGAAATTCCTACCCCCATGTGTTGAGAACCTTTGCTTTATCTGATAGTTGGGTGAATTTTACTTCATCTGATACTAAAAACAGCTGATATTTTAAAAAAGATCTCTACCTTTACGTAATTTTAATGTCCTATTCCTGCAAGACGTAAGCGATACTGACTCTTCCCAGTGTCTTTTTCTTTATAATCTGTGACTTGCCATGACTTCTTAGGAAAGATAGTCGAGTGGTTCCCTATTGTTCTCTCCAACATACCCCTTCAGGACGTAGGAAAGATAGTGGAGTAGTTTCCCGTTGCTTTCTAAACGGTTTTCCTTCTATTAGACTGGTCGTCAAGCAAGTGCACCGTCTATTTAACTCATATGCTATTTAACCCATATGTGGGAGCAGAGACTAAAGAAAGATTCATACATTCCTCTCAGGGACCTAGCGCGAAAAGAAACGAAATCGACTTGGCTGGAATTTAAACGCGGGTACACGTTAATACCTGTTACCCTACACTTACATCTGGACCTGCGTCTATAGCCGCTAAAATGGCCGAATTTGTGCTTTGATTAAATTTTAAACATCAGCAGTACATGGTCCACTTTAATTATGAATCGTTTGGTAATATTGTCTAATTTGCAATGTTGACAAGGACAAAGAAAAACATGTAGGGCTGATTATTTCAGTTAATTAGTGGACAAGAATTATCAGTTTAAAGTTAATCTTTAATTAAGCTGTAATTGCAACGCAGTTGTAATTACTGCATCGACCGGGTTTTCATCTTTTAATCATTTATCCAAATATAAATAAATAAACAGAGCAAACGGGTGTTTTTCTAATGCGAATGTTCTTTTGTAAATATCATGTATTATATGACATAAGGGATTTGGTCTTCCTCCGTGCATCCACTGCAACCCCCCATCCCCCTTTCTCCGTATTTTCGCTCTCTCTCTCTCTCTTTCTCTCTCTCTTTCTTTCTATATTCATTTTTCTCATTTTTATCTTATCTCTCTCTCTCTAAATATGTAGGCAGACAAATGTGGAAAAAATGAATTGCGAATATATATTTCTTTTTATATATTGATAGATATGAACAGAATGAGATAGATAGATAGATAGATAGATAGATAGATAGATAGATAGATAGATAGATAGATAGATATGAACAATGAGATAGATATGAACAATTAAAGATAGATAGATATGAACTGAATGAGGTTAGATAGATAGATAATGATCAGAATTAGATAGATAGATATTCCATAGATAATCAATAGAATGAGATAGATAGATAGATAGATAGATAGATAATCAATAGAATGAGATAGATAGATAGATAGATAGATAGATAGATAGATAGATAGATAGATATGAACAATGAGATAGATATGAACACAGCGAGATAGATAGATATGAACTGAATGAGGTTAGATAGATAGATAATGATCAGAATTAGATAGATAGATAGATAATCAATAGAATGAGATAGATAGATAGATAGATAGATAGATAGATAGATAGATAGATAGATAATCAATAGAATGAGATAGATAGATAGATAGATAGATAGATAGATAGATAGATAGATAGATATTCGTATAACAATGAGATAGATATGAACAAAGCCAAGATAGATATGAACTGAATGAGGTTAGATAGATAGATAGATAATGATCAGAATTAGATAGATAGATAGATAGATAGATAGATAATCAATAGAATGAGATAGATAGATAGATAGATAGATAGATAGATAGATAGATAGATAAATAATCAATAGAATGAGATAGATAGATAGATAGATAGATAGATAGATAGATAGATAGATAGATAGATATAGATTTTAGGAGACAGAAAATTCACAGATGCGTGTTTATTCTTTTTGCATTATTTACCAATACACAAACTGAACACACACGCAATTTTGCACACACACACACACACACGCACAACCATATGCACACACACACACACACACACATATTATATATATATATATATATATATATATATATATATATATATATATATATATATGTATTTAAAGTGTAAAATTCTGGCTCTAATTGATACAAGAAAGCCATAATTGTTTATTTTAAGATACCATTTTGTTTATTTACGTATGTATTCGGCAACCGTAGATATTTTATGAGTTCTGCTTCTTCTTGTATAAGCAGCCGCTCATCTGGGTGGGGAAATCTTTTGTGTTTGACCGTGTGTGTTATGAAAACATACTTTTCGTGTCTGACGAATATTTGCCAAAAAGCGCTTCTTTCAAACGCCCTTTTTATTATTATTATTCCGACCTGCATGGATTTCGTTTTCATTTCCCCGTTAATTCGTTTTGCACGTTTGCCGCGAATTTCATTTAAGTCGTGAATTGCTGCTTTCTTTCGTGTCGCTTGACATTTTACAATTTGCTGCACATCTTCAGTAACCATATTCAGCGTCCACAAGAACCAAAATAGCCTCTACATTTTGTCAGTCCCTCTTGGATTAATATTGACAATAACGGCCTTATCACATTGAGACAACACTTCCCATTACGATCATCGACATTAAGCAACGCCGAATCTGGTCAGTAACTAGATGAGTAACCGCTTGGGAATATCAGGTGCTGTAAGCTTGCAAGTGCGAATGATGCAAGAGATAATGGCTCGGAATTGTTAATCGAAGAGCCGAGTTCTAATTCTCGTTAAGGCCGTTATATTCACTTTCGCATAAATATCTCCCCAGCTATGGATTAAATTTGTATGTGAAAAAATAATTGCTATTCTTAAAAAATTGTTAATGAAAAAAAAAAAAATTATTTTTCCAATCCGGAGTAGGTTAAGGCTTTAAATAAACCACAAAGGGTTGATAAACCGTAAAAAACAAATAGAATAAAATCTTACACTAAAATAGCGTTGTGCATCTTCCGTCTTGACTTAACATTCAAATTTAATTCATTCACAGTTGATTTTGCAGATTCAGCTTTTATAAACTTTCTACTTTGTTTAGTGCATCTCAAGTTTTTTTTTCCTACTTATTTAACCCCAAGCAAGGCAATAAAGCCACCAAGATGCAAGTAGTTACGGAGTGTTGGAGAATATGAGAAAAAGAAGAAATTAAATAATGAGAACATTCAAAGAACAAGAATTAAGAAGACAGAAGATGACGACTTTTGATTACTAAATTAATTTTTTTTAAGATCAAATTTGACTGGATAAAGCCTTTTATCTATTTTCACCCACGTCTATCAAACACCGTTTTTACCGGATTAAAGAGTTCGTTCGTTTTTAATCATTTCACCCCAAGCAAGGCAATGAAGCTACTAACACCATGGGGGGGTACTAAGTGTGAAAGAATATACGAATAAGAAAGACATTATTAAGGAGAGAGAACAATAAAAGAACAGGAATTAAGAAGATAAAAGAATTTTTCGAAGATCTAACTTGACTGGAATGCCATAAGCCGGAAGAATCTTCCGCTTGCGAGAAATGAGAGAGAAGAAACTGTTAACATAGAACTTACGGTTACATCTAGCCATTTCAACTGTAAAATGAAACTAGGCTTCTATCGTTCTGGGTATGACGATAAACTACATCCGGCAGCAAGGCCGCTGATCGGGAGACTGGATGTTTTGAGGATTGTGGAACATCCTCTTAATTACCACTGATTCCCAGGTATAAACAATGACTCAAAACAAGAGATGTCATTAGTGTCCCAGCTATGGGCAAACAGGGAACCCATAAACAAAAATCAAGAGTACATTTTTATAGTAAATTTACCAATAATACATTTTATGATTTACAAAATATATATCTAATCATCTTGCGGCCTCAGCCGAGATTGAACTCACTACACCTTTCCAGTATTCCTTATCTGTCATAGCTAATACTTTGATTGGTGTAGTTCATAATCTTGTCAAATAGCTGAATTTTTGATGCTTCGCTAGGGCTATCAAGGGTATTTTTATCGTGACACCATCACTAAATGGATTGCCAACCAAGGCTCAGAGAGACTCCATTCACCATCCGCAGGTTTTGAATTCAGAGTTTTCCTTCTCCTAGACCAGTTGCCATCCAAGGCTATAGAACCCAGTCTGTCCTGCTATTTTACCCAAAACTGGAGGGAGAGGAAGAGGATCCATACCTTTCCCAAGGGTATTAGCATTAAGTTTATGTAATGGATTCGACTGGAATTCGAACTCGGCTCTGCGATTCCTCAATCCAAGCCGCTATCCATTACTCCACCGTGCTTCCAAATATATCTAAAAGAACATACCTTTCCTTCGAAAGTATAAAATTATGTACAAAATGTATTTAGTTGAAAGCATAAAATTACGTACAAAATATTTAGGTTTCTGTGTTAAATAACTGATATAATGGAATATGCATACACCTGTGTTCCCCCTCACTGGAGTGTGATTGGCTGGTGTCCGTCATAAATACCGACGGACGTGTAGAAGAGTTAGAGGAATTATCTGAGAACTAAGTCTAGACTATAACGACGCCCATTAGACTACGCCATTGATCTACACTTCTTACCTGCGACTACGACGCGTACCAGTCAATTACTGCTACCGTATTCTACTTGGTTATAGTAGCCAAAACCACTTAGCTACTTCGTTCAAATATATCCCTTTATCAATGACCCATAGAGGTGTTGATATGCCGCTAAACAAAATGAACGAACCAACCAAGCAAACAAACTGTACTCCAAAATATTTCAACAATAGTTGAAATTAGTATAGCTGGACACTACTAGGGCTGCTAGTCAATCCCTATTGCAGACGCTTGCTCAGGCACATTTGTGTTTGTTCAACACCCGCAGGGCCCACGTGTCGTTTATACTGCAACTATGGTGAGAAAACCTTAGAGTTTCTGGGGAAGATCGTGTTATACAGCATGATCAACAATTTGGACATTTGCACGCTCAATCCTTCGGCCACGATGAATTTTGACTTTGTGCTAGCACACCTATCGACGGGCTCCAAGGGTTCCATCTACCCAACTCCACTCACAAAGCTTGGGTCAACCCGTGGTATGGTGTTCAGGCACTTTCCAAAGGTGCTGCACGCTTGGATCGACCCCACCAATCCGATAACATCCCATTACTTCAACAATACAACAACATAAAATATACATATCACCGCCTTCAGTAATCATGTCCACGCAAACATGAATACGCACAAAAGTTGAGTATCATCTACCATGTATTCAATTGTTTGGTTTAGTTTGGTTTATTTTGTTTTACAATATATCAACCTCAATGGGTTATTTAATGCCGACAACATGTTTAGGATAGATTCGTATGAATAGAATATGTTTTATTTGGTTTAAATTGGTTTGATTTATTTTGTATTACGGCATATCAACACCTCAATGGGTTATTTAATGCCGACAACATTTTAAGGATAGATTCGTATGAATAGAATATGCATTCTTTGGTTTAAATTGGTTTGGTTTATTTTGATTTACGGCATATCAACCTCAATGGGTTATTCAATGCCGACAACATTTTTAGGATAGATTCGGATGAATAGAATATGTATTCTTTAATTTAGATTGGTTTGGTTTATTTTGTTTTACGGCATATCAACACCTCAATGGGTTATTTAATGCCGACAACATTTTTAGGATAGATTCGTATGAATAGAATATGCATTCTTTGTTTTAAATTGGTTTTGTTTATTTTGTTTTACGGCATATCAACCTCAATGATTTATTTAATGCTGATAATTTTTTATTGCTGGTAATATTTTGTTTTGTCAAAAAATCTGTTTCTGGTAACACTTTTCCTTCATAATTGAATTGCTGGTAATATTTTTTTCAAAAAGTATTGCTGGTAATAGTTAACTATTTGCCCATAGCTGGGACCCTAACAGATGCTACCACCCCAGGTTAGTGTGGACCTGGGAACACCAGCAATTAAGAGGTGTTTCCACGCTCCTCAAAACCTCCTGATCAGAGGCCTTGCTGTTGGATGTATTTTATCGTCATACCCAGGGCGCGGATGTAGTTTAACGTCTTACCCAGGGCGCGGATGTAGTTTAATGTCTTACCCAGGACGGGTATTCATTTGTGAAAGCAGAATAACATGTTATTACTTACAAAGCTCCCAGGAAAATTAAATTTTGCCATAAAATACCCATAAGGAGTTGATGTGCCGTTAAACAAAGAAACGAAAAAAACCTTTGCATCTAATCTAGTACCTCTTAAGTTCCTAAAGCCGAGGTACCATAGAGGAAAGTTCATCAGAACAATTACAGTGAAAAACTTTATAGAAAAGCTACAGGGAATCAACAGTACAGCAGTGGGAAAAAAGACTAAAACCGAGATGCCAGGTCAGGTTCAATAACATTGCAGATTCTTCTTTGGATTTTATCAAGGATCTCTAATCATAGACATTTTTTTATGTTTAACATTCTTTTTATAGATACAAGTATTTTAGTAAATGCTCTGCTTATAATAAACAGTATTAAATAACATTTACCGACCTGAATGTCCGAGAAATTTTCATAGAAAATTGATTTGAACCTGCATCCTATACGGAACCGTCATTTAGCTTGATGTCTTTAATAAATTGTCGGACTTTGTCCATTTCTTAATGTATGACGTCATTTGTTTACATTTGATACGCCATGAGCAGTTATGAATGTACGAGATTCATGGAAGATTGAAGTTTATAAGCAGTAAATTCGACTTTGCCAACCGAACGATCCTTTGTGGCCGAGAGGTTAGGCACGTCAAGCTAAATGACGGTTCCGTATACGAAGCAGGTTCGAATCCTGTCAAAATTGAAAATATGAAAATTTCTCGGACATTCAGGCCGGTAAATGTTATTTAATACTGTTTACTATGAACAGAGCATTTACTAAAATACTTGTATCTATAAAAAGAATGTTAAAAATAAAGAAAAAAATGTCTTTAATAAATTGTCGGACTTTGTCCATTTCTTAATGTATCTCTAATTATATAACAGCTTACCTAATTTTGATCTACAATAATGAAGAAACCTATTCTCGATTGATCACCGAAAATATGATGAACTGACACTGGTTAATATTTGGATGGACGACTTCTTAATAACACCAAGTACTGTACGTAATTTCAGCCTTGTTTGAGCCAGGAAGTGTCGATCCTCACCTCTGTACAATATCAGCGACCGTAAGCATCTTGGAGCTGATCACCAAATTTAATCAATACAAAACTTGATCAGGACTGACGTGACTGCAGTTGATTACATTTTTTTTTGGCGGGGGGATTCCCTAACCGAAAATTGTTTATGATAAAACCTCAATCTTTCTGGCCTTTTGCCATACTAGACAATAGTCGTTAGAGTTCAAGGTTCAAATAGAAAACTCATAGGTTTCAAATTGAAAAGTTTTATTAACGTCCTGGGTTAATGCAAGGCTTTCAAGTTGAAAAGTTACGACGACAGTCATTTTGAGAAATAT